CAGCTGAGTATCTTTACCTTTTGCTAAATTAGGAAAATTCTCCTGGATTATTTCTGTGAGTAGCTTTTGTAATTCACTTGTTTGTGTCCCTACTTCTTCTTCTATGTTCTTAATCCTTAAGTGGTGGCTCCTCTTATCATCTTCTTGTTTTTGTATTATTGCTGTTTGTTTCTTTATTATTTTTAAGAAGTTTTTCATTTCATTCTCCCATATTTCAAGTCTGCCCTCCAGTTCAGATAGTCTGTCCTTAGTTTCTTTCAAGCTGTTATGCCAGTCTTGTATAGACTTATTAATTTCTTGATAGTCCCTTTGAACCTGCTTCACATACTCAATGCTTTCTCTGTTTTCTCCATCAAGCAATTCTCCCCTCTTTTTCTGTTCTTCCATTCCACCATCTGTTTTTTCCTGGGTGGTGTTTAGCATTTCTCTAACTATTCTGCATACTTCTAGCTTCAGATCATTGATAACTTCATTCCTGAATTGGTCTATGAGGCTCTCAATATGGTGCTTAATGTATACTGGTGCGGCGTCCATTATTGCCTGTTTCTCAGGATTGGGGGCTGAGGAGCTTTTTTTGTTGCTTCCCTTCCCCATATTTTTTGTTCCTTATAAAATGCAATCTTACAAAGGAGGCCCGGCTTCCCTGCCTGTCAGCCACAGCCTGATCAAATTGCGCTGGCTAGTTGTTCCCGCCCACCGCTGCGCACCAGGGAGTCGGAGGAGGCAGCCTACGCGGAAGTCAGTCGCTCCTCCGGGCCATCGTCCGGCTCTGGGATCTGGGTTAGGCTAGTCTAGCCTAGAGAGTCCGCCAGCAGCGTCACTCAGGCCAGGGACTTTTCACCAATCCCGTCCGAGAGGGGAATGGCGCCCAGAGAGATCTCCGCTAGAGTCAAACTGTGGTGGGGGGTCAGATTCTTACTCACCTCGCCACCAGTCAGTTTTCGTGTACACCTCTGTCCGTCCTTTTTTTTTTTTTTTCGACTCCGTTCTCCCGTTCCCAGAGCTCGGCGCTCCCAGAGCTCGGCGCGTCTCTCCTTGCTGAGCCGCTGTGGAGATAGCCGGCCGCCGCACGGCGGGAAATCCAAACCGGTTTCCAAAGGCGCGGAGTCGAGCCTCCACACCGAGATTTTTCTGTTCCTATTTTAGCGCCAAGACTGTATTCCAAGTTGGATTCTCTCAGCCCAGTTCGTTCCTGAGTCAGCAGAGCATATCTCTACTGATTCGTGTCTCCCTAGTCCGCATTATTTCTGGCCTCTGAGCCGAACCTTTCAGAGAGCCTCTGGTAGTTGCTGTTGTCTGTCCGCCATGTTCTCTCCGATCCTTCTATTTGAAGTTATTTAAATCAGTATTTAAATTATGGGTTGAAATTACATGTGTTGAGCCTTCATAAAATAGTTTAAATCTACAAGATAATAGAAGGTAAAATGCTCATTTTTATTTTTGTAGACTAACAAATATTTCATGTGATATCGCTAACAACTGGCATTTGATATATGAATAACTTAGAATCTAAAAAGTTTCAGTCTATACTGGAGTTTAAAATATGTGTGTAATAAAAGTAGATCCTTAGGAAATTTGTAATGCTATTTTTCCAATGGCAACTTTTACAAAGTTAGAGCTTATTGCTTACTGTTTTTACTAGTCTTTGAAACTGAGAACCTCAGCAATTGGTGAATATCCAGACATGTAGGGAAAAACTAATTAAGAAAGGGGAAATGTACAGTGATGCAGGTTAAAGAGCAATTTGATGATCAATATGGTTCTTAATAGGAAACCGATGAAGCAGTTGGAGAGAGGGAGATGCAGATTAGTGTTCTGTGCTCAGATTATTAAGGGATGGTGACTGTTTCAGAACATTTGTGTTGGACGTAAAAAGGTCAATTAACAAAGCATTCTACAAATTCTGAAACTTCAAGGAAATGAAAACTTATCTGTATCCTCATGCAACAAAAACAAACTACAGAAATTTTAATCTGGAAAAAATAGAAAACAATGAAATGAGATGTTTAGAGCTTTATAAAATTTTGGCGCTTGTAATTTTTTGGGAGATAGTTTTTATTCTTTATTCTGGATTTATTTTGCACATATGTCAGTGTGTTAATGATACTCATTTGTCAAAGCATACTCTGAACGAGGGAGGTTCTAGATACAGGTTACGTACCAGTTAACAAAGCAGTCCTTTTACTTCTGGAGCTCAAAGTTTTAGTTTCACATATTGTAATAAATAAAATTTCAGTGGCATCAAATATTGCAGCTATCACAACCTATAAAACATCTAGTACTTTGTGGTTTATTTTATGGAGCATTCAGAATTAGAATTCCACCCACCTGTGTCCTCTTTTATGCAGTAAAGTAAAGTAAATTTGAAAGAATTTTCACCACAAAAATAATGCAGGTTAGTCTGAGAGGTACTTAAAGGGGTTCTGTTATTAATTACTTGCCTTTAGAGAGTACTAACCCTGTGAATGGCTGGGCTCCTTTCACTGTGTAATAGGCCAATCAGAGTTTTATGGCCAAGAGTATGCCTGCGTTCCCAGCTCACTGTGCGTACAAGCTGACACTTCTCCAGGGAAATGGAGAGCTCTGTGGGAAGAAGCTTGTGTGTGTGTGTGTGTGTGTGTGTGTGTGTGTGTGTGTGTGTGTGTGTTTGTGGGTGAGGGGAAAATATCTGTAAATGAGGGGAAAATTCCAACCAGTTCTTGGAATCAGTTGTTTGCTTCCTCAGGGAGCCAGGGATGAGCTCAACTGGGCTGAGAAAAATCTGTGCAGATGTCAGCACTGACTGCATTGCGGCCTCAAGCCTGCCAAAGGCTTCCTCCTTCCTAAAGGGCAAAGCAGTGAGCAGAGGGTACAGTCTCCAGCTGAACCTGCACGTACAGCCATGTGTGCTGCCACCTGGCACCTTGAGCACAGACAGGGCTAGTGCATTGAGGTAGTGTGCTCAGGAGAGGGGTGCAGAGCAGAAAAGTAGCAGGCCTGTCCTCTTGGCTGACGCATACGGAGAAAGCAGCACAAATTCAATCTCAGAGAGACAGCATACTTCACTGGATGTCCTGCTGGCATTCCTCTAACCAGTAATACTGGATTCAACAATTGGTTCCATGGGAAATGCAACTGGGATTGGTAGACTGTGATAAATTCCTTAGCTTTTTAGGATTTGTGTTTGTAGTGGTTATTGAGCAAAATTAGATCGATTAGGCGTAGTTTTTTAAAAAAATACTCAAATTATTTCAGACTCAGACACTGGATTCTCTAGACCCATGATCTCTCCTTTGTGGTTCCTTAACCTCTGAGAATGTCCCTTTGGTAGTAATTTAACTTGCAACAGAAAGGCCAAAGGTGTAGCTCAGGCTACAATGCTTACCTAGCAGGAGTGGAGGACTTGGGTTTAATCACTAGGATGGAAAATGACTTAACTTGCAACATGAAACAGTTTTTGACTTACTGGGTTGAAAAAAATCAAACGTTGACTGGACACTGATGATATTCTTAAAAATCAGAGATTAAAAATTTATAATTTCTGTTTTTTGGTGGGGATACTGGAAGTCTAACTCAGAACCTCATGTTTGTCAGATATATGCTGCACCACTGAGCTAAATTGCTGGCCCCAGAAATGCATAGTTTCTTGACCTGTAGTTCTAGTTTTATGAAGCTATCATACAGGCATTTTATATTCATAAAGTTACACGTATAAGAATATTCATTGCATCACTTTTGCAGTAAAAAATGAGGAATAAGCTAAATGCTTGTTAGTAGAGAACTAGGATTAAATTAAGTGTGCCACAGTTATATAAGGAACATCTTGCGGTTTTTCAAAAGTGAGAGACCGTTTTCTATGACTTTATAAGGAGATCACTAAAATGCATTAAATGACAAAAACGACACAGACAGCATTCTGTAATATATACTATCATTTGTGTATGTGTGTGTGCATAATATGTGTGTGTATTATTCATGTATGTATACATTTGTGTAATGTGTTCCTGTGTGGAGGTCCTAACTCTGAAAGTATATAAATGGTAAGTGATGAACTCAGAGAATAGAAATTGGGTTACTGAGGAAGGGTGTGGCAGGGAGACTTACTCTTCACCAAATGACTTCCTGTACTTTTCATGTTTTTGATACGTGCTTTTAACAAAATCTATTTTAATTAATAAACAAACACACAAAAAAGAAAACCTAGGCCTAATGAAAGTAGAAAATGGAGCAATCAGGAAGAAGGTTGTTGTAAATAGTCATGTTTTTGATCATTGATAGAACCGACTAGATAAAAAGTTATTTCCATAGTGCAGTCTTGCTTTAATGAGAGCTGACACATTTAGGATATGTCTGGAAGAACCATCTGCTTGGATACGTCTGCAGAGTCTTGTAAGAGTATATTTGTAACTTTATGATACAATGTAAAACATGACCAGGACCCATATAATTTTAGGAAAAATTCTGCAGATTGTACTCTACAAAAAAAGTAGGAAAAATGGGGAAATGAGCTAGGAGACAGACAGAGAGACGGAGGGTGGAGGGACAGGGAGAGAGAGAGAAGAAAGGTAGGACATGTGCTGAGTGTCAAGTTTTTGTCCTTGGGGACTGAATGACTTCACGTACAGAAGAACAATGAGGACATTTCGGTAAAAGAAGCAAGGAAGTAGCCATTGAGAATCAAAGGAAGAGTTATTTTGACTGTTTGAATTTAGTTAATGTGACAATAATTGTCAGATGTGATTTTGTTAAATACTAGTTTCATTTTGGAAGGAGTACAATGAATCACAATTTCATTTAAATCTTGGCCTATACAAGTGTGAATATTTAAAATATGGATATGTATATGATGATATAGAATTCCAAGCCTTACTGAAATCAGTCTTGCTGTGATGATATAATTGAGTCACTATCATTTTTAGTGCAAAGTTACATAAAATAAAAATTGTAAGAAAGACAATTAGGCCCATGATAGGCACATGTTTAGGCAAATTCAGTTTCATCTTCTCTTTTGTTTCCCACAGGGTGAATGGGAAATTGGTAGCCTTGAAAGTGATCAGGCTACAAGAAGAAGAGGGGACACCTTTCACAGCCATCAGAGAAGGTGGGCACCTTTGCTTGTTACGTTTCCTTTTTTGTTTCTATGATGCTCATAGCTGTACATGTAACATCCATCACTGCATTTGCAGAGTGTTGAATTTATCTCTCATGGAATGTGTAAGTTGAAATTAACAAGTCAGTACCTTTTAGAATCCTTTCAGGCCATGTGAAATAAGAAAAGACATAGGTATGTTGATGATGGGGCTATCTGGGACACTGAGGAGTTTTTATACATCTGAATATGTGTGAAGAGCGTTTAAAATATGTTACTGTTGTAACACATTACTATTGTAATTACATTTGTGATTTTTATGGGAAATTCTTAAAAACCAGAGAGAACTAGGCAATCTTATTATTTCAGTTGTTTTCTTTCTTGATTTCTTTATTCTTGCTCTTTGCTGTATTTGTTGTTGGTTTTCATATTAATATACAGTCTTTGTGTATTTGAGCCATTTACGTTGTAATATTTTCTCTACTGTGCCATTTTTATAAAAATTGCTTTTATGTTGTAGTTATCATAAGATTTGAATTTTTGTGAAATGAAGTTGCCCTCTTTTGCTTTCTTAATTTCTGCACAGAAAAGTTTCTCTAGTTGAAAATGAGGAAAATATCTTCTCTCATTGATGGGACCTTTTCAGTTCAGGTTCATAACTCTGAGTTACAATTTGCAGCTTTATCACTACTACATTTTTAATAGTATTAATTATCACAACCTAATATCTGTGTTTATTTTTACATTGAATGGGTCACATCTCCTGTTTCTCTCTCTTTTTTTTTTTTTTTTTTTGGTCTTTTTCCTTTTTATCAGTACTGAGGATTGAACTCACAACCACCTGCTTGCAAGGCAGGTACTTAGCCGCTGAGCTAAATCCCCAGCCCCCCCTCCTGTTTCTCCTAATCCAAATAAGATAAATATCATTGATTTATGATAATAGCTTTCGCATGGTGTTGACAACTACATATACTCTCACACTGGTCTGGTTTGTTTCTCACCACTATCAATGGGATTTACAGGGGCCAGGGGTTTAGCTCAGTGGCATAAGCACACGCTTGACCAATGTGAGGTTGTGAGTTCAAGCCCTCGTACCAAAAAAAAAAAAAAAAAAAATAGGATTTACATTTGACATCTTAGTCATAATTCTGTTTCCATTTTCTAGTGTCTCATTCTCCATCTCCATTGATTTTAGTTTGGTTTCTTTCATTTCTGTGTAACTTTTTTAGTTTCACCAGTCTCCTCTTATGACCATATCAAAAATATGCCTCTGTGTTCTACTTTACCCAACTTTCCATTAGATAGCAAATGGCTGAAGCTTTCTCTTCTGGGACAGCAGATTTTTCAAGTAGGTAAGTCTTCTCTTATTTTGGGAGGACTCTAATCTGTGGAGTGCTTCAGAACAGGAAAGGGATCTTCCTTCCCCTGAAGACATTCTTTCTTAGGCTTCCTGAGATTAAATGGCAACTGAAGGATACACATGCGTCTCTGTGGATGTGGTCTTGCCTCCATTTGCTTTTTGTGTCCTCTGCCTGTGTGTCATCTCCCCTTGAATCAAGTAATGTGAGAATGGGAAGCTGGTTTAGTCCTTCAAGAATCCGTTGCATTGTATCACAGTTGTCTCAGACTTACCCTGCGATGGAATTGTGGTCCCTGCGCCATGTACCAAAGTACAGCCTTCCTATGTTAGTAAGAACATCTCGTGCTCCCCTTGCTCAGTTAGACCCTGAACAAGTCCTACTGGTTATTTCTTTCAACAGTACCCCCCAACTGTCATCAGCTGGCACGTCTCCCCTCACCGTCAGCCTCAGTCCAGGGATCATCATTGTTTTATTGGACTTTGGTCTCAGCTTCTTATTGTACCCTCCACTTCTGCCTTTTCATTCTGTCTGTCCTCTGAAACTAGTATCATCTACTTAAAACCTAAACTGTGTTATATCAGTCCCTTTATTTAAAACTGTTTCAAGTACTTCATGCCTGGTTTTTTTTCAGCTGTGCCACAAGGTTTCCTGTCTCAGGGATTTCATACCTGTTCTTGCTTCTGGCTACAATGTGCTTTCTTGGATCTTCTTACATTACAGGTGTCAATTCAACTATCCTCTTTTCAGAGAAGAGTCCTGTGGCCATTCTGTCTAAAATAGCAGCTGACCATCATCTTACCAATCTTTGCCCACCATGCTGTCACTCTATTTACTTGCTTTGTTGTTCTTGTTGGAATTTGAAATGGTTTACCCGTCTTTCTATTGGTACATAATCTTAGTGAGGTCATAAGCCTTAATCTGATTGTTCGCTTTTATATCCTCACCACCCAGCATAGTAATCACTTTATTGAGTGAATTACAGAAAATCATTAAGCTACAATCTATAAATATGATGGACTATTAGATATATTCTCAGTTCTCAAAGGATCTGCTTTTAGGTGACAGACAAGACAACAGATAATAAATTGAACAGTAATATATAGTGGCATATTAATGCCAGCTCATTTCTGAAGTACTGTAAATTCTAAGGAAACTCCTCCACTGGTGAAGGGTGGTAAAGTTTCAGCTTAAACCTGAGTTTTAGGAATAAGATACATAGGCATCCAAGAGAAGATTGCAAAGTTGCATTCCAGATAGGTATAACAAAAGAGGCAGAGATCACAGAGTGTCATGTTATGCCCAAGAGCAGTGACTAGGAATGATCAGTATTCTCAACTACTGGTGGAGCCAGGGCTGGTTATTGGTTTGTAGGAGGTGTTTTTGTCACCATAGTAATTGAACAGTGCAACTGAAATTTACTGGTGGGAGTGGGACATCTACAATATTTATGAGATCCTTGATTAAGAGAGAGTACTGCTTTCTGTGGCTCGCTGCATTCTGTTTGAACAGAGTCAATTCCATTTATTTATGTATTGCCTGTGGCTGCTTTCTTAAAGGTGTGGACTTGTGGCACACTATATGGTCCCCATATAGATAAACTATGTGGTATCTAATTCTTTCAAGGAAAAAAACTGTTGTTCCCTATTCTAGTACAGTGAATAATTGTCTCATGGTCTACAAAGCTTTCTAATAAACTGCCAGGCATTCATGAACGTGAAAAACCTAGTTATGTTTCTCTGAGCTTATAACCCTCAGTTGTTTCACATGTAATTAAAAGTATGCTCTGCTCAGGTTTAATACATGGCAAATTTTCCAGAAATACATCTATAGTATAAGTCAAGGGAGAATAGAATTGTATTTCATTGAGAACATAGAAGTTATTCATATTTTGGAAAAGCACATGACAATAGTGTTAATGCTTACATTATTGAAGTCACTTATTATTAATGTAACACCCCTGGATCAGTCTGCATTTGTGGTGGCTGTATTTATGCTGATTCTACATGTAGATATGAGCACCATTCTTTAATATGCTTTCCAATATAGTTATCTCTATTTTTATATTTAAAGAGATTGTTGGATTATAAATTACTTTCTATTTCTCTTTATTTCAGTTACATTTAGATGAATACAGTGAAATTATAAATACAGATATTTGCAATTATGTGTACATTTATCTTATCTATGAATTTCATTTCACAGTAGTTAAAGCTACACTTTCATATGCATATCTATATGCATTGCACATCTATCTATAGACCTGTTTTAGGTAAAGTAGATATAGACTAACATATCTGAAAGTGAATTGAAATTATGAATATACCTACATCTTATTACATGTGAATTTTATTTTATAGTAACAAAGATAATGAAAAGTACTAAAAATATTTGTTGTCTAAGGCAGGTGCTCAATTGTATTGGATTGAAGACTCTGACTGACATGGCACAGTGGTTTCCTACTGAGCAGTGGAAGAAGGCAGAGTGGCCAATGACACTGAATTTGATTCTGGTAGACCTTGAATATGAGGGAATAGGAGAGGGACAGGGCACAATGCCAGGAAGGCAGTAAGGAAAAGGAAACTGGCCGTCAGACCTGCTTCCTAGGAGGTAGGGTGTATGTTAGTATTAACCTAGCTAAACTTGCTGTGGTACTAGTTTAGGTTCAAGGTTAAGAGCAGATTCCTAATGCTACTCCAGGCCTATTGTGACAAATGGGTCTATTGGTAGAGATTCAGTGGATGAAGTAAGCAGGCTCAGATCATTCATACCGTCTGGAATGAGGCAAGGTTCTGGCACCTGGAAGGGTAGGTTCAAGGAAACATAAAGGAACAGAGAACATAATGACCCTGGGCACACTGACAGCTGGGTTTGTCCTGCTGGCTGACTATTCTAAGCCTTGAAATGAGCTTATGTGAGACCAGTATTTGTCTGCCAAGGAGCTGTAACAGAGAACCACAGAATGAGTTGTACAGGAAGTTATTGCCCTACAGTTCGAGAGACTGATGACTTCAAGATCAAGGTGTCTTGACTGTCCTGTGAGGCCTGTGAGGGACGGTCTGCTCCATGATTTTCTCTTTGGTCTGGAAGTGGATGTCTTCTCCGTCCATCTTCACAAGGTCTTCTTTTTGTGTTGAGTCCAGACATCTTTTTATAATGATGCCTTATACTGGATTGGGACTGATCCTAATGATCTCATTTTAACTTAATTACTTTATAAAGATCCTGTCTTCACAGTCAGTTAAATCACATTCTGATTGGACTTAAAGATACTGGGACTTAAAGATACGAATTTATGGGAGACACAGTTCAGCTAATGTATAACTTTATAACTTCAGGCCTTAGTGAACCTACTTTCAGAAAGCAGGAGTGGATTATGTCATCTCTCAGAAACTCTCTACTTTGGCATTGTGATTTTGATTTCTAAAGGAGTCTGTGAACTCAGATTTTTGAATATTCTGAAAACAAGATAGAAGTAGTATTGAAGCTTGGAAGGATTAATCACACAATGACTTGAGTTTTCCTTTGAATAAAATACTTTTTGGCTTTTCCTAGTAAAGTCTGATTTCTACTTGATTTCTATTAGAGATAAAATGACCTTATGGTAGGGGTTAGAACTTTGGATCAGTTTTGACTGTTTGCTTCTCTCTTTGC